GACCGTCCTCTCAGTGCAATGCTCACTGACGCATTTCGGACGGCCAAATGTTCCGAAAGTCGGTTGCGTCGATGGCTCGTCGTCGACGTGACTGGCATCAGAGTGCCAGGATTGTTGGGAAGAGGAAGATGACACAGACGGACATTGTTCGATAAATCCCGAGTCAAAAATATGTTGTTTCTTCGATTGCTTCTCCTTCGATTTCTTGCCGATCTTCCTGTGATTTAACGATAGCTTAGCTCGATTAAACACTGACAGTATCTTCTTCAATGACTTCTTTTGCGGCAACTTCTCGTCCAGCACCGGTATCCATGTCACGGAGGTATCATTGTCGATCTCGATCGGCCGCTTCAGCGAAACGCCGATCACTCGCGGCGATTCTCGATTGAAGTCGGAGCAGGGTTTTAATATCTGTTCCACAGCCTGAGGATTCTTGTGATCGTTTAAAACATCTTTGGAAGGTACAACGGTAATGTCTTGGAAGGATGACTCTAACAGCAAATTGTCATTGGCATGACTGCTCGACGTGTCGTCACACAACGATCTCGAGGAAGAACTCAACGATTGCGATAAAGTTGAGGATAATTCAAATTTGCAATCTTCGTTCTCGAAATCGTACAAATCGACTTGTAAATTCTTGTAACTATTATTGCTAGCATTACTCGAATCACGAGAATTCGTCAAGATATTGTCAAGAGGATCCTCGTCATAGTCCATATCTTTGTCGTTAACATCCTCCAAAGGACTCGAGCAGATCAGCGGCATATTATTTTTCGATTTATATTTTCCCTCGCTTTCCGAGGGACTATAGAATATTTGACCTTTCCTCTTCAGAGTTTCAGTTTCGCTTTTTTTCGAGGAATTGGGTCGAATATTCGTCAATTCTCTCATAAAACCATACTTATTTATCTTGGAAGAGATTCCCGACCACGTCTTTAAAATGTCTGTCATTTTGTCGTTCTTCGAATGGCAGCGATTAGGCATCACGAAATCGTCTTCGAGATCGTGCTTCTTGACGACGGAAGACACGGAAGATATCTCGGATGTATTTTTAAGATTACTGCCGAGTTCGC